ATCAGGAATATTTACTACTTGTTACCACATTCTTTATTATTTTGGTTTTAAAATGAAACACTTTTGTATACTACAAATTATTGTAGACAACAGCCATTTTGTTTGAGGGACAAGTTTCCCCTACATATAAAAAAATAATAAAGTTTAGGATCAAAGCAGTGGATACATTCTGAAACTACACCAGGACAAGAGATAATTTTAACTCATGCATGTATTTAATTGTCCTTAGATTTTTAAAATTCTGGACTATGTTTTCCTCTAATGGGGCAATTAAAATTGGAAAGGTAAAATATCTTAAAGATAATCTACATCTTCTAAACTTCCTAAAGGAGAAATAATTTTCAAGATCCTTTAAAATGGGGCTCAGCCATTAAAAGCTAGGCTCACAACCAAAAATATAAGATCCTTTAAAGGTTGTAAAAATGGTTGCATTGCATCACACACTGAAGATTCAGTGAGTAGTAATCCAGTGTTTATTGTACACAATTTCTTTTAACTTTTAAAAATTGGTGCTAAGACATAAGTAACAATAGTATCACATGGCTTCTCTGTGGCCTGGTTGGACACTAATATATATGTATTTCAAATTAAGTTTCTCAACAATAATGTAATTTTATTGTCAAACAGTTTATAATTGTTAGCACAGTCCATTTGTGGCTTGCAGAACTATATTTTTACTTTGCCAATATGAGATTGAGAAATCATACAGTTTTTTATTGTCAGTGTTATGAAAGATTATAGTAATCAAAAATAAATCACAGCTAGGGTAGCTAAGAGAAAATCAAAGTTTGGTTTTCTCCTTTAGTTAGAAAAAAATTCTTATATATTTGTTTCCTGCTTTCCAACTAGGAATTGTGTTGTCCATTTTCTGACATGTTAACTCAATTTAATTGTTTTAATAATTGATATTCACAACAGATGATATTTTGTGTAACATTATATTAACTTCAGGACAATTTTATATGTATGTAGACTGAAATGCTTATTTCTTTATATCATTTCGTTTATTTCTCTGAGAAAACAGAATATGTAATATTTTCCTTTTTATTATTATTTTTAAATTAGTAACAAGTTTGCTTCACATGTCAATCCCAGCGCCCTCTCCCTCTCCTCCTTCCCCCACACCCCATACCAACCCTCCCCAGCCCCCCCCCCATCCCCCCCCTCTCCCCAGGGAGGGGGAGGCCCCCCACGGGGGGTGGGTGGCCAAAGTAACACACCGAGACTTACATTAGGTGCAATGCTGCTGGCCAACGACTAGGATTTCTTATCTGCTATCTCTGTATTAAGTATCAACCATAATTATTAATCTATTTATTTTATAAAGTCTCATCTGATTGAGGATGCTGGTGGCATGCATCCTCTCTTGTTGGGCTCACATGGAGGTTCCCAGAGAAGAGAGGAGGAGGAAGGAGAAGAGAGTGACTTCCTGCTTGTCCCTGCTCATATTCCGAGTCTTCCTGCTATGTCACCTCCTGCCTGGATCACAAGAGTTCTCTTTGCTACATTTCCCACAATCCTCCTCAACTCCGAGTCACACCTAATTTGCTTCCCTATTGGCCAACAGTATTTTATTTATCAATCAATCAGACAAACATATACCCAGAAGGACCTTCCCCCATCAGACAACCATGTTCAGGGTGTCTGGATCAGTCCAATGCAGGCCTCTTAGCCATTAGTCTAGGGTCCCTGAGCTCTCCCTTGTCCAGATCACCTGTTTCTGGGGGTTTCACAAGCCTGGACTTGACCCCATAGTTCATCACTCCTCCTTCTCTGCAACTGGGTTCCTGGAGTTCAGTTCAGTGTTTAGCTGTGGGTGTCTGCTGATGCTTCCATCAGCCACTGGAGGAAGGCTCTAAGATGGTATATAAGTAGTCATCAATCTCATTATCAAGGAAGGGTATTTCAGGTAGCCTCTCCACTGTTGCTTAGACTACCTGTTGATGTCATCCTTGTAGATCTCTGAAAATATCCCTAGTACCAGGTTTCTTTTTAAACCTATAATGGCTCCCTCTCTTATGATACCCATTTTCTTGCTCTCCTCTATTCTTCCCCTGACTCAATGTTCCTTCTCCCCCATATCCTGTTCTGTCCTCCTCTTCTCTTTCTCTCTTTCTCTGATCTCCCTCTCCCCTCCTCCCATGCTCAGACTGCTCAGGAGAATTTATAACATTCCCCTTCACAGGGGTACCATGCATGTGTCTCTTAAGGTCCTCCCTGTTTCCCAGACTCTCTGGCAGTGGGATTCTTGGTTGGCAATCACCTGTTCCATGTGTAAAATCCATATATGAGTGAGTACATACCATGTTTATTTTTGTCACTGGGTTACGTTACTCAGGATGATTTCTTCTAGTGCCATCCATTCGCCTGAAAATTTCAATATTCCATTGTTTTTTTTTCCACTGAGTAGTACGCCATTGTGTAAATGTACCACATTTTCTCTATCCATTCTTCAGTTGAGGGGCATCTAAGTTGCTTCCAGGTTCTGGCTCTTACAAATAAATATGCTATGAACATGGTTGAACAGATGCCCTTATTGTATGAATCTTTTGGTTATATATGTTGAAGATACTTTCTTTTTTCCATTGCATAGTTTTAGCTTCTTTGCCAACAATCAGGTGTTCATAGGTGTGTGGGTTAATATCAGGGTCTTCAATTAGATTTCATTCGTCTACTTGTCTGTTTTTGTGCCAATACCAAGCTGTTTTCATTACTATAGTTCTATAGTATAGCTTCAAGTCAGGGATGTTGATGCCTTCAGAAGGTCCTTTATTGTATAGGATTGTTTGGGCTATCCTGGGTCTTTCGTTTATCCATATAAAGTTGAGACTTATCCTTCAAGATCTGTGAAGAATTGTGTGGGTATTTTGATGGGGATTGCATGGAATCTGTAGATTGCTTTTGGCAATATTGCCATTTTTACTATGTTGGCCCTACCTATCCAAGAGCATGGGAGATCTCTCAATTTTCTGGTATCTTATTTAATTTCTTTTTATAATGTCTCAATTTTCTTGTCATACAGGTTTTTCACCTGTTTGATTAGACTTACCACAAGATATTTTATGTTGTTTGTGGCCATTGTAAAGGGTGATGTTTCTCTGATTTCTTTCTCAGCCCCTTTATTGCCTGTATATAATAGGGCTACTGACTTTTTTAATTAGTCTTGTATCCTGCCTCTTTGATCAAGGGGTTTCTCAGTTGTAGGAGTTCTCTGGTAGAATTCTTCGGGTCACTTATGTAGACTATCATGCCATCTGCAAATAGTGAAAGTTTGAAATCTTCCTTTCCAATTTGTATCCCCTTGATCTCCTTTTGTTGTATTCTTGCTCTAGCAAGATTTCAAGTACAATATTGAAGAGATATGCAGAAAGTGGAAAACCTTGTCTTGTTCCTGATTTTAGAGGAATGGTGCTGAGTTTCTATCCATTTAGTTTGATGTTGGCTGTTGGCTTGGTTTATATTGCTTTTATTATGTTTAGATATGTGCTTGTTACACCCAATCTCTCCAAGATCTTTATCATGAAGGGGTGTTGAATTTTGCCAAAGGATTTTTCAGCATCTAGTGAGTTGATCATATGGTTTTTCTTTTTCAGGGTGTTTATATCATGGATTACATTGATGGATTTGCATATGTTGAGCCATTCCTACATCCCTGGTATGAAGCCAACTTCATCATAGTGTATGATTTTTTGGTGTGTTCTTGAATTTGATATGCCAGTATTTTATTGAATATTTTTGCATCAATGTTCATGAGAGAGATTGGTCTGTAGTTCTGTATCTTAGTAGCGTATTTGTGTGGTTTGGGCACCAAGGTAATTATAGCCTCATAAAAAGAGCTTGGCAATGGTGTGGAACAATTTGAGGAGTATTGGTTTTAGCTCTTCTTTGTATTCTGGTAGAATACTGTGCTGAAACCATCTGTCCCTGGGTTTCTTTTTTTTTATTGGTTGGAAGACTTTTGATGACTACTTCTATTTCCTTGGGGTTATATGTGTATTTAACTTATTTATCTGTTCTTGATTTAATTTTGGAAAGTTATGTCTATCCAGAAAATCATCCATTTCCTTTACATTTTCCAATTTTGTGGAGTACTGGGTATTCTTAGTATGACCTGATGATTCTCTGGATTTCCCTAGTATCTGTTGTTATGCCCCCCTTTACATTTCTGATTTTGTTAACTTGCATGTTCTCTCTCTGCCTTTTGGTTAGGTTTGTATAAAAACTTGTCTATCTTCTTGATTTTCTCAAAGAACCAACTCTTTGTTTCATTGATTTTTGTATTGTTTTCTTTGTTTCTACATTATTGATTTCAGCTCTCAATTTTACTCCTTCTGGGTGAGTTTACTTCTTTTTTTTCTAGAGCTTTCAGGTGTTCTGTTAAATCTCTAGTGTGGTTATTCTCAAGTTTCTTCATGTGGGCACTTAATGCTATGAACTTTCGTTTTAGAACTGCTTTCAGAGTGTCCCATAGGTTTGGGTATATTGTGCCTTCATTTTCATTGTATTCTAGGAAGTCTTTGATTTGTTTTTTTATTTCTTCCTGAGCATTGTTGAATTTCCATGAAGTTGTGGGGTTTCTGCATTTTGTGTTGTTGAAATCTAATTTTAAGCCTTGGTGGTCTGATAATATACAGGGGAGAATCCCAATTTTTGTATCTGTTGAGGTTTGCTTTATTTCCCAGTATGTGATTGATTTTAGAGAATGTTCCATGTGGTGCTGAGAAGAAGGTATATTCTTTTGTGTTTGGATGGAATGTTCTATAGATTTCTGTTAAACCCAAATGGGTCATAACTTCTGTTAGTTCTTTTGTTTCTTTGTTAATTTTCTGTCTGGTGTTCCTGTCCAGTGGTGAGAGTGGGGTGTTGAAGTCTTCCACTTTAAGTGTGTGGGGTTTAATGAGTGATTTGAGTTTTAGTAATGTTCCTTGTTGAATGTGGGTGCCTTTTTATTTGGGGTATAGATGTTCAGAATTGAGACTTCATAGTGATGGAGTTTTCCTTTGATGAATATGTAATGACCTTCTTCATTTCTTTTGATTAATTTTAGTTTGAAGTCTAATTTGTTATATATTAGGGTAGCTACCTGCTTACTTCCTATGTCCATTTGATTGGAAAATTTTTTCCCAACCCTTAATTCTGCAGTAACCTCTGTCTTTGAAGGTGTGGTATGTTTCTTGTATGCAGTAGAAGGATGGATACTGTCATCATTTCCATTCTGTTAGCCTGTGGATTTTTATAGGTGAGTTAAGACCATTCATATTGAGGGATATTAATGACCATTGATTGTTAATTCTTGTTTGTTTTGTATTCATTCTTGGTGGTGGTATTTTGTGTGAGTTTCCCCCCTTTTATGGATTTGGTAAAGTGTGATTATCTATTGCCTGGTTTTTGTGAATGTAGTTAATTTCTTTGAGTTGGAGTTTTCCTTCCAAAAGTTTGTGTAGGACTGGATTTGTGGATATGTACTGTGTAAATCTAGTTTTGTCCTGGAATATCTTATTTTTTCCATCTATAATGATTGAGAGTTTTGCTGGGTATAGTAGTATGGACTGGAATCTGTAATCTCTTAATGTTTGTAGAACATCTCTCCAGGACCTTCTGGATTTCAGAGTTTCCATGGAGAATTCAGAAATAATTCTGATAGGTCTGCCTTTATAGGTTACTTGGCCTTTTTCCTTAGCTGCTGTTAATATTCTTTCTTTATGCCGTATGTTTGGAGTTTTGATTGTTATGTGGCAAGGGAACTTTTTTTTTGGTCCAGTCTATTTGGTATACTTTCTTGTACTTTCATAGGTGTGTCCTTCTTCGGTTGGCTAATTTTCCTTCTATGATTTTGTTTAATATGTTTTCTGCACCTTTGAGTTGGGCTTTTTTTTCACCTTCTTCTATATCTTGGCCTTTTCACAGTGTCCCATATTTCCTGGATATTTTGTGTTAAGGATTTTTTGGACTTAAGATTTTGTTTGGTCGGTGAATCTATTTCCTCTAGTTTATCTTCAGCTTCTGAGATTCTGTCTTCCATCTCTTGTATTATGTTGGTTATGCTTTTATCTTTGGTTCCTGATTGTTTACTCAGCTTTTCTACTTCCAGCATTCCCTCAGTTTGTGTTTTTTTTTATTGTCTTCATTTCAGTTTTCAGGTCTTGAACTGTGTGAATTTTTTCCTTCAGCTGTTTTATTGTATTTTCTTAGCTTTCCTTAAAACATTTGTTGATTTCTTGCATTTTTGACTTGTTTTTTTCTTCCATTTCTTTAAGGGATTTCTTATATCCTCTTTGAGGGCCTCTATTAATTCCATGAAGTTGTTCTTAAGGTCATTCTCTTCTAGTTCATCTCCATTGGGATTTTCAGGTCTTGCTGGTATACAGTCCCTAGATTCTGGTGGTGTTATATAAGTCTTTCTGTTGTTGGATATGTTCTTATACTGTCCTCTCTCCATCTCTTCTTCCAGTGGGTATAGGTGGGGTCTCTCCTTGTCCTCTCAAACGGAGGGTGTAGGGGAAAGACCAGAATGTTTCTCCTCTGGAGGGTGGAGAGTCAAGACTGGAATGGTTCTCAACCAGAGCATGGAGGGGCAAGACCGGAATGGCTGCCAATGAAACTGGCTGCTTCGTTCTGCCTCCAGGTCCCTCTTTGGGTTTGCTGGCAGGAAGGGTCTCAGAATGTGTAATTTTTGAAATGTGCAATTAGATAAACAAATGTATTTAAGGTGTGTTTATGATTATTGATATGTTGTTTTGAAAGTTCAGTTAAATGTTTCAGTGTTTTATGTTTCACATATTTAAGAAACCACAGTAATAAAAGTATTAGTTAAATTATTGAACTTAAATTATTTCATTGATTTCTCATGACAAATTGCTTACATAGGTATTTTAATAGTCTATCTTACAGCAAGACACTGATACACTATTTGCAAATTTTCTCCATTAAAGCAGAGCTAATAATAAATAACCACAATTAAAATAGAAATTGGATCCATTTAATCATAGTCCATTTGTATAAAAACTATTATGCCATTTATTCTTCCATCCTCATATCTGCTCTAAAAATGTTTTTAAGGAAATGCCAACAAACATAGAATGCATTTGATGACTGAAAGCTATCACTCAAATTCAATTTTGACAAAATGGTGTGACATGACTTAAGTACAGAAAACAGTAGCCACATTAAACTAGTTTTCAGTTGGACAGTGTTTATTTCAGTGGACTGAAGGACATTGTTAAAAATGTCAATGTGTTGATATCTTTGTGGATAAAACCAGTAGTTTTACTTTGTATAAATCCATACTTTTAGCCATTGACCTTAGTTACCTTAAAAATACATGACATCAAGAGAGGTTGAGTAGAGAGATTGAATAACCTTTAACAAAACCACCGTGTATACAACTAAGAGAACAAAACACTGCCCCACCAAAGAGAGGAGAATGGTGGCCCATTGCAGAAAAAGGAAAGTATTAACAGGCAAATGTGCTTTATAAGCTTAACTGTAAGCAGTGTGATTTCTTTTGGGGTAATCTCAAGTTCTCCAAAGCAGTGATCATATGAAATCATGTTACTCAGCTTTCCATTAATATGATAGTATGCCTGAGACAAGTGATTTTAGGGGGAAATGTTTCTTCTGTCATATAGCTGTTGAGGTTTCAGTCCATTGTCAGTAGGTTCCTCTGCTTTGGGGCATCCAATGATGCAATTTAACAGAGTGAGGACATGTGGAAGAGAAAAACATTTATCTAATTTTATCTAGCAAGCAGAAGGAAGGCTTAGCAACCTGATGTCCACTTTAAAAACATTGACTTTGTGGCCTAATATTTTCCACTAGCCTCCATCTCCTAGTAGAGTCATGTACTTCAAACCAAGCCTGAATTTAACACTTGATCTTTAAGGTACATTTAAAAATAGTAGCATAAAAGTATTGTGTGAAGAACAGAAAAATTCCTGTTGGGTGTCTTGATAGGTAATTCTAACAATCATGAAGCAGAGGCTGAAGGATGACAAGTTCTATAGCAGTCTTAGATATATAGTAAGATTCTATATAACAGAAAGAGGGATTGAGTGAAGACACTTCAGGAAAGCACATGCAACAGAAGTTTGAGGACTAGAGTTCAGATAAACAAATATGCAGCGAGAAGCTGGCTGGGCCTGACAACTCATCTGCAATCCTGCTGTGCCAAAGATAGAAAGAGAGAATCCATGGAAAGAAGCTGGTTAGCAAGATTAGCTTCATTGGAAACTACAAGATATAAGTGAGAGACGTTGCCTCAATAAATAAGTTGAGAGTGATTAAGGAAGATAAATGACATAAACCTCTAGTGCCCACATTCTAGTACACACATGCGTACATCCCATACATCTATACCTATATAAATTCAATAGCCACACACACTTGCATGCATTCCAGACACACACACACACACACACACACACACACACACACACACACACACACACACTCTCATGTGTTTCCAATTTACTAATTTGTCTCAAGCCCCAAATCACAAAATATGTCTTGTATATTAAAGTGTACCAGGAGATTCATCACTGCATATTTTTCCTATCTATTATTATGCTACACCAATTCTCATGAGATAAATATCTTACTCTGTTGTATCAGCAGGTTTGGAAAGAATGTGTTGCCAAATCTGTGGCTTAATTCAGAAGCATTTTAATTTGTTCTATTTCCTCATGAATATGAGCAATCAAAAGGTTTTTCCACCTCATATATAAGTCCAAGCTATTTTCTTTTCATTTTTGATTGCATTGCATTGGTCCCATCAATGATATGCACTAACATTAGTCATATTCATAAGCATAGATGGATATTATAAATGTGAAGTTTTGTTTGCATCGTGTGAATCTTTTTTTCCTTTTTTACTTACATTAAATACAACGATAAATCAGCAGTTGCATTCTGTTACCACGATTGTTATGTTGGAAGGAGAGGGAAAGAAAGGCAATTGCTTTCTTAGGAAAAATATAAAAACAAGCAACAAAAAAGCATGACCCCTCCCCCTAAAATGTGATCAAAAGAAAACAGACAATGGGAGGACAGGGAGGGATCAACAAGAACTCTCAAGCCCAACAGAGCTCAAGGGAAGGCAGAGAGCTGGTAGGAGTAGAGGGAAGGCAGCCCAGCCCAGGAGCTAAGGCCAATACTGTTCCAAAGGGAGGGAGAAAGGAAGGAGGGAAGGAGGGGAAAAGCTTGGGAAATGGTTTCCCAGACCCTAGGCAATAAAACATTTTCACTTTTGTCCCATGGAAACTGCAGAGGAGGAATTAAGTCTCTACAAGATTTAGCCTGCCTAGGTTTTCGACTTATAAAATAGATGCACCTGGATGCTTTGGAGGACTAACAAGTTCTAGGAAAACAAAGGTGGAAAAGTATGTGTATTTCAGGGCCATGAGAACTAAGGCTGCACCTGGACAAGGAAGAGAATTGAGGCGTAAGTGGAAGAACCTAAGCTGGGTCCTTGAGAATCTTGGCGTCATGGATTCCTCAGCTGCTCTGAAACAAAAGGCAGCCTATATGCCAAAGAAACAGAATGATCCTAACTCTGGGTTACTGTGGGCTTTCCTTTCTTCTGAAGATTTCCTCCAAATTCTGCCTAACACCCAAAAGAATTGGGTTCCCTCTTGCTTTGATGGCTTCCCACAGATACCCCAAAACACCTAATGAAAGATGTAGAGGCCAGAGACTTAGGAAGGACCAACGTGCTCTGATGACACAAGGCAGCTGTGAGGCACCTTCAGTTCTAGCTGCTCCTGTCATAGGATGAGTGGCCTCTGTGGCAGGAGCCCCTGGTGGTACATGGATTAAGAAAGAGTAAGGGGGGCGGGGTGAGGGAGGAACTAAACTGAAGATACCACTGAAAGGAAAAAGAAAAAGGGGCAACAGGAGACAGAACAGACTGTACAGTGAGAATAAAGACTGTAAGTATTTACAGGGAAGTAGAAAAGACATGGTAAGATACAGCAAGCTGAATGTGAGCCCTGGGAAGACAGAACACTTCCTTTGCCTTGCCCTTCTTCACTCCACTACCATGGCCCACGCTATTCTAAGGCCACTCCCCAGTTGCTCAGACAAACCTATACCCAATAATTGAGGCAAGAATCAGTCAGAAGAGGCTAGCAGGGGAGACTGAGCTTGAGTAGCTGCTACTGTTACTGTTTTCTATACTGCCTCCCAAACCTAATACATTGTAGATTCCATTTAATTAAAAAGGTCGAAGGATAGGTAAATCAATCAAAACCCCAATAAACATGTATCCTGACAGAACTACCATCAATTAAAGTGCAAATGGCAGGGGCATGGTATCTGGGGCTAAGGCCATCTCAAGGCCAGGAGAGGGGAAATGCCTATGTATAAAAGAGAGGATGGGTGTCAGAAACTGGTACCTCCTCCAGTTAGATAACAGCAGAGCTAAAGGTGCAGGCAACCAGTGAAGATTCTTTGGAGCACTCTGAGGTCCGATCCCCACTCCGGAGTGGGGAGGAGTGAGTGGGGAAACTACCTGAGAGGAGGGGCGAGGAAAAAAAGCCTTGGGACAAGTTCCAGAGCCACAGATGACACTGCCCCTCAACCTTTATCCGGTCAGCTAATACAACTTCCATACAGTGCCTGTGAGCTTGCCTCCCTAGTCTCATTCCTACCTAGGAATACCCTACACCAGTCCAACTCATGGGTCCTGCAGTGTTTCATAGACAAGAAACTCCTACCAGAAATATAAAACAAAAAAGAAATGTTTCCTTACTCCCTCATGCTCTGAGCCTTACTGTCCCTGCAGGGCCTATGTAACTAAAATTACATTGTCTCCCTTTTGGGTGTACCTTTCATCATCTTGGGAAGTGGAGGGAACAGGAACAAGAACAGGGAGTGATGAGAGGTGGAAGAGGGAACAGGCAGGAGACAAGTCTTCCCTGAATCCCTGGGAAGGGACACAGTGGGGGTTAACAATGAGGAGGTCACTGTCTTGCACCTAGAACATGAAGTGAAGAAAGTCTGTTTTGGAAGGAATGTCCCTGAGAAATTTGACCCCAAACCCCAGAGTAGAGCATAGTAGTGGAAACAGCTGCCTGGTGTTAGTTGCTGAAGCACTAAAAAGTGTCATGATGGAGCTGTCAGGAGGCAGCCTTTGGGAGCCAGGACTCAGTGTGCTGATACCATAGGGGCTGTGCGCTGAGGGGTGGGGATGGAGGTTATGTCTTAGCTCTACTGCTAACTCCACATGTGTTTGCTGCTAGCCACCCTCAGTTGCTACAACACTGGCTCTTGTTCTGCTGAGACTCCTCATGGAGATCCACACTCCGACTCTGGCCGGCTGCACTCCCCAGATTCTGGGGTTCACTCTTTGGCAATTTCTATTGCCAGGAAGAGGTCATTCGCATTCATAGAAGTCTTGGCTGAAGTCTCCATCAATAACAAGCTATTGTCATCTGCATATGCCTGTGCCTCTTCATACTCCACCATGCTCTTGTTGGCAAGGTCAGCTTTGTTCCCCGCCAAGGCAATAAAAATGCTAGAGCTGGCTTGCCGCTGTAGTTCCTTTACCCATGTCTTTTCCTGGGAAAAAGTTTCCTGATTAGTAATATCATTGACCACAGTTGCAGCCTGTGCACCCCTGTAGTACATGGGGGCTAGGCTGTGGTATCACTTCTGCCCAGCCATGTCCCAGATTTCAAATTTGACTTTTGTGTCATCTAGACAAACATATTGGGTGAGGAAGGCTAGACATCCCCACTGCAGATGATCCCAGCAGGACCAATTTGACCTGGCATATTTAGCTGGCCTGGAGCTGCCCATTGGGCCTGGCTGTACTTCTGCTAGTCA